CTCCTGTTATTAGCCTACAGCATTGCGTCGAATACCGTAGTTTCCAGAGTCTACCGCGAGGAGGTTACAGGTTTTTTTAAGACTCCTTATTTTTTTTGTTTTTTCATATTGTTTTATTTTCTTTTTTTTAATTTTTTTTTCTATTTTTATCATTTACACATTTTTATATCAAATACAGAAATATAATTACGGATTTATCGTCGATTAATTAAAAGAATTAAAAATTAAAAATTAAAATTAAAATTAAAAATCTTCCTTTTCTATTTCCGTTTCTTCGTCTGTTAATTCCAAATCTTGTAGATTTGACAATGTTTCTGACAAACCCGAATTATCAATTTCATCTACATTATTATCAATATCATTATTTTGAAAAGGTCCTGTTTCTTCTGGAACAATAACTGCAACTGTAGCGATTTGTGGAATTGCCAATAAGCTACGGACTTCTTGGGAAATAGGTAATTGTTTCCTTTTCAAAATGCGTGAATTAAGCCTTGTGGAAGAGAGTATCGGGTCTGATGTGTCCATTGATCTATAAAAAACGTCTTCAAGATTTTCCTTTCGTCCACACTTTTGACTGTGGAATTCACGATAACGCTTATAAAATTTATTCCAAGCTTTACTAGCTCCTTCGCCAAGCATGCCCACTGGAAGTACGCTTGTTTTAATGATATCAGCACCGTGTATAAGTATTTTGTGTAATGTTGCAGACATTGGATACCAAGAGTAGTTAGCAACATAAATTTCGGCTGTACAAAAACAGTATTCATCAAATCGTAAAGGATCCACGGGAAGTTGGCAAGATAGTGCAATTAAAATAGTTTTCAAATTTTTTATTAATTCTAAATTAAGACCGAGACATTCTGCAAAAACATCAGGGTCTGCAAATGCTCTACGCGCGGTGTTCCCATCATTACTGTTTCCAAACCCCCCTGGTTTGGGTTTGTCGACTATAATTCCTAACTTGTTGAAAAGAATAGCTTGTACTTCACGTTTTCGTCTTGAAAATTCTTCTTTTCTTTCCTCGCCTCGAATTTGCCATTCTTTTATATTAATTCGATATGAAATATGAAGACAACATTCAAATATGCGTATCCAAGTATGTAAAGGACTTATTCCAAATATTAATGCGTTACAATCAGGAAGAAAAATATCTTTTATCTTATTTTTTAAATCATTAAATTGGCGCGGTTTTGCTTTACAAATAGGACATGTCAGAGTAGATTTTGTTTCTGTAAATATGTTCAGTACTTTACCATCTATTAAAGTAAGGAATAACGAATAATGAACTCTTACTCGATGAATATTATCGATTAAAATTTCAAATATCTCTAATTTATCAATCTGCTCGTCAATATTTTTTTTCTGTAATTTAATAATTGCTGCTGACTCTTTAGCATATTGCAGTTTAATGGGTCTGCAAAATCTTGCTGATTGCGGCATTCGATTGTACCATAACACTATATTACTTGAATCAGAAAGCAACTGCAATGGTATGAATGTTGTGGCAAATATGCTTCCATCAGCCTCATCTCTTAGATTTTCATTGTCAACAGATTGGTATCTTTGTTTATAAACCGAATGACCGCTACTTCCGTCAAACCCCCACGAACACATAAGAACAACGTCGATATCCGTACAGGAAGTTTTTTCTACGCAATGCAATATCATTTCTTTTTGCATATGCAAAATTCGTTTTGCGGTCTGATTCAAAAGTGATTGCAGCGAAACATCAGCTTCAGTTTCTGTGATGGAAACTTCATTTTTTGGCGGTCGGCATTCAGCCTTTACTGCTCTAACGGCATCATAGGGAGGCCATATATCAGCACCACATTCTTTAGATTCTAAACGCATATTTATATACACACTTTTGGATAGAGAATTGTCTAAGATAAAACCTAAGGCTTCAAGTGGCGTTTTTGGTGTAATCTTTTTGGCTTTTTTCAGCGGTTCTGAGCATTGCGATTGTCATAATTTAGCCAGCTCTGAATATAAATTTTTCTCCCCAGAGCGCCTGGCAGCATAACGGCATGCTGCAATTAATGTTTGTGGATCATGGTTGACGCTAGCGCTAACACCTCCAGCTATTCGTCGTTTCGTTCGAACCGATTTCTTCTCGAAAGGAATGTTATGACGACCTGAATCTGAAAAATTAGAAGTCGAAGGCGTAGACGTAGAAGCATTATCGTTAATAATTTTATTTTTCTTAAACTCAGGAAGGTGGAATTCAGAATCGAGCCACGAGGCATATTTTTCTTCAAATCTTGTTCTCATTCTATGAACAGATGCATATTTCTGTTTGTATTTTGTTTTTAGTGTCATTATAGCTGATTTCAATTTCATCAAATTGGAAAGACTAACATCTTCAAAGCGAATCTCTAGCCTAGATAAAATATAATTCACAACGAACGACGTACACCCTGATTATCAGAGATTTGTTTATAAATCTCTCTTTTTGAAAATTTTATCATTTTGGATGACATTTTACTGCAGTAGTGATTTATTGCATGGCAAAGAATCTATTTAATACTGAAGAAAAATATTCCCGAAGTAAATAAACTGGGAGACGGTAATGAAAATGCTACGATAACCGCCAACATATACCAAACGGCGCGCCACTTCTCTAATAGATTTGATGAACCCCCTAGTGATCGCGTATCGCACTATCCATATGCTCGTATGCGCAACGAATGAGATGTGTTCGTGGATCGGACGTAGTTATGTAATTATAAAATAATACTATTAGTGTGCCAAAACATAGGTGGTATTAAATACTGTTTTTATTGAAAGGATCGACATTTTTTAAGATTTGAAGGGTCGATGGGTGCAAAATTTTTCACTACCTAGACTACTCTTGATCCAATCTCGGAAATATCAATAGAACATATGTAAGACTATTTTTAAGACCGATTTTTTAGTAATAACACATAATAAGAACTACCTCGAAAAAGCATGCTGTTGGGATTTAATGGGTTAACACACTGTCTATGCATATACGTACATATTCGCATTGTTTAGTCCTTTATCGAAATATGTGCAAAAATGTGCATACCTGTCATTTAGTATAGGTTCTAAACAAGACATTAACATTTTGTTTAGTTGAATATCTAGGGGAATTTCGGGGAATTGTTAAACGGAAGATGGTACAATAATATTAAATACAGCTTGGTGAACATAAAACTTAAGCATAGAGTAACTGGTAATAAGACTATTTTCTGTTTGGGTCATGTTTTTAACATGTGTAACCTTCCTTTACATAAAACAGAAATAGGTTAATTGAAATTTAATTATGTGTCATGAAAAATCACATTTTTGATATAAATTGATAGTTAACATTTTTTGTTACTATTTCGTGTTTGACCGTCTGCTATTTCGAGACAAATAGCTGTAATGATTTGAAATTTTGGTAAAGTGTACTTTAACATGTCTATAAACAGGGAAACTATCTTTGGTAATGAAAAAATAGAAAATTACCTTTGCCTTTTTTTCGGGTACCCCAGCCCATAGTGCATTGTCTTGCATTTTGATATTCAGCATTTCCGACACTAACCTTTTACCAATATATCTCTCATTATCCAAAATTTCTGTGTTAACCCAATCAAATTCATGTTCTAATTGTAACCTATGTTCAGAAATAACAGATAAATTCCCACTCCTTTTGTTAATGTCGTTTTTGTGTTCATTAATTCTCGTCTTTAATTTACAGCTAGTCTGTCCCACATAAGAAGCGTTGCAATTTTTACAATTGATTTTGTAAACAACATTCTTCTTCGATTCATGAGAAAGTCTATCTTTTTGTACCTTAATAATTCTGTCAAGTTTATTCAAACTAAAGAAAGATAATTTAACATTCAAATCTTTAATAACACTCTTAAATTTGTCATAAATACACGGTAAAAATGGAATAGTAAACCAAGAAGTTATTTTATTATCTATGTCAGGTTTGTCAGTTTGTTTAAATGTCTTACGTTTTAAAAGCGATCTTAATCGTAAATTCATCGTGTCAAAAATAAAATTCAAAGGGTAATCATTATCCAAAAATGTCCTGATAATAAACTTAAAATTGTCACTATGATATTTTGGATGAGATAATAAAAAGGCTCTGTCCACCATGCTCATAAGAACACCTCTTTTTTGTGAAAGAGTAGTAGTGAGAAAGATGTTGATTGGGTTAACACAGAAATTTTGGATAATGAGAGATATATTGGTAAAAGGTTAGTATCGGAAATGCTGAATATCAAAATGCAAGACAATGGTTTAAATTTGAAATCTGACACGGAGTTCTTGCACCATGCTTATACGAACATAATCAAAAAATTCTGATTGGTTTAAATATTCTGAAGTAGTTATCTACAATATGTTTCAATTCGATGACTTACGACAATTATTGTTTCCTTTCTTGTATTTTTATTTTTATTTTTGTATTTCTTAATGTCGATTTCACAGTTGACTTTACGATTGACACTGCGAACGTTATGTCGTCTTGTAACTTATTCAATATTTCTTTCTTGTCAACTGAATTTATGGAATATATATTTTTGTGCAGTTATGGTGTACAGTAAGTAGATCTCCATACAATTTATGGTTTTCCAATGTATGTCTCTAACGATTTTGTGTTTGATTTAGTTTCATTCAGTTAATCAACTAATTGAGGGTTACACACACTCTCCGGATAAGGTAATCCGTGAGATTTGCTTACTGCACTCCATGGTCTGAATTTTGGATCGTCTTCCTGTTAGGATTATGAACTGTAAAATGCTGAGGATGACTTGAACACAGCCGAAACGTTCATGTAATAGATAATTTTTCAATTATATGTATATTAGTACCGCACGAATTACTGCGTTTTTTTTTAGGCTCTTAATAATTGCCCGTTATTTAGTTTTATGTATTTTAATTAATTATTTCAAGAGCCCAATTGATTGAGTTATTGGTTTAAAAAATGTATTATTTTTTTTATGCAAACTCCCTATTGTTTGATAAATATATAAAATACTGTCTGTATCTTATTATCATTATAAATTCTTAAGTTTTTTTTGTGTACTATAAAGATAATTAATTTATATTTAAAAAATAGTAAACGTCTTTTGACTTTTTATTTAAAAAAAAATTAATCATTTTGATTCGTTTGTTTAAGAAATTTTAACTTGTGTGATGGCAAACACTTACTATATTGCTTGTCGTACTTGTGTGTATTTACACGCTGAATGTAGTTGAATTTGGATTTTTCCATTTCTGTTTTTTTCATGTAATTATTAGTTTTGGTGTTAACAAAAGCCAACGCTTCGGCGCCTCCGGGTATAGTCAAAGGACCATTTCCCTCTGTCAGGTACTTCACAAAATTAATTGGATTCGAACCCAAACGTGGCTCGACAATAGTCACGCTCTCGTTGACTAAAAACGTTAAAGCTGACATGCTCACATGATCTTGTAAATTAAATCCCACCGGAAGATCCTCGATTACATCGATGCCCAATGAAGTCAAATGATTTTTTGGACCTATTCCGGAGAGCATCAGTAACTGTGGTGAACCCAAAGTACCTGTGCAATCGGAAATATATGATGAAATTCTCGATTTAAAAAGATTACAAATAATGAGCTGAACTAAAACAATTTTGCATTTCTGTTTAAAAAAAATAAAGTAAACTTCCATTTTCGAACATATCGTCTTTTCCAAAAAGCGTTCATAATTCGAAAATATTTTTGTGTTAATTTACAGGAAATTACAACCAGGAAATTATTGAAATTAAAGAGTTGTTATTTAATATAATTTGACGGAATAAAATTAATGAAACGTTCTACTGTAAAAGAAACCTATTCTTTTCATTAGCATATAGTAAAAAAGGTCATATATACATAAATTTGTAAAAAATAAATATTATAATAAAAACGAGCCAACAATTCTGACTGATTGACAATGATGTCTTGTAGTATTTAAAAAAAAATTAATGTTTTTAAAAATAATAGTAATAAATATAAAAATAATAATAAGATTTAAATTTTATGATAATCGAGGCGCTTTTGAAAATTATTAATTACATTTTCTGGTATTAATGATCGTAACTGTGCCTTCGAAGAATTCTAGAAAGGTTCCCGCACAAAACGTATGGAAAGAATCCTGGCTAATTTGGCTGAATTTGTAATGTGATAGTTCTGATTGTCCTGATCAAAAGTCTCCATGGGCACGAAGTAAAAAAATGAACAATTTTTTAGTTATTATACATCAAACTCTGCCAAAACGACTAATTCCGTATGCTTACCTGAAGGTACATTTTCGTATCTATTACTGACTGTGTGTGTATGTACGTGTGTGCGTGTGCGCGCGCGCGCGCGCGCGCGCGTGCGTGTGTGCGTGTACATACAGGGTGTCCCATTTTAAAGGATCCACTTAAATATGTCGCAAACACTGCGATAAACCGAAAAATGTTTCAGACTTTTCTTTCACTTCGAGAAAGTCATGAGATGGTATCATTAGTTTGATCTTTATTTGGTTGCGTTGTGAAAGTCAGGGCAAAATCACTGATAAGGTGTATCATGGTCAGGGCAAGATCATGGTACATCTTGCGTAATGCTAATGCCGACGGAACTGTAACTTTCAAACTTTATAACTCGAAAAATATTTAATGAAAAAATAGTTTATTATAGTATTTTGAAAGGCTTTCGAGGTAAGCTATAAAAATATATAATGAAAAATGGGTGTTCCATTTAAAAAATTCAAAGTGATCTTGCCCTGACCTTCACAACGCAACCAAACAAAGATTAAACTAATGATACCATCTTGTGATTCCCTCGAAGTGAAAGAAAAGTCTGAAACATTTTTTGATTTAACGCAGTGTTTGTTGTGATATTTCAGTGGATCTTTTAAAATGGGACACCCTGTATGTACGCGCGCGCGCGCGCACGCACACACACGCACACACCCACACATGCACAGTCAGTAATACGTACGAAAATGTACTTTCAGGTAAGTATATGGAATTAGCTGTTTTGGCAGAATTTGATGTACAATAACTCAAAAAATTTTCCATTTTTTTACTTCGTGCTCATGGAGACTTTTGATCAGGACGATTAAAACTATAACATATTACAAATTCAATCAAATCAGAACCTATTTTCCGTATGTTTTGTGCGGAGTCCTTTCTATCACGGAAATAATCATTCATATCGAGATCTTTCAATATTAAACAAAATATCTTTAAGACAGTCATGTGAATACATAACAAAGAAATGAACCTTAATCGATTAAATTGGATCTTTTTATGTTTAAATAATTCGGTGTGAATTTATATATACATACCGAGATTACCGAGATTTTTCAGTATATCTATGTATCATTGAATCATGCAATCTTCCAAACAGGTTTTTTTTATTATGTTTACTTTACAAGTCACATATATTCGTTTTGCACTGTGTGCTAAGAAAAATTTTTTCACGGAATAATGTTTAATTCGTTGTTCATTTATTATAAAGTAACTACTATTTATATATAGTTCCTACAACTTCCCGATTACACACACAAACACGCACACTATTTACGAAAACATTTTATATTAACAGCTTTCGCTAATATCAGTTTTATTAAACATAATCATATTATTCAATAAATTTAAGCGGTCTACATAATCACTTTAATACAACAAAATAATTTTTAGATTCGCATCTAATTAAATTTTTAAATACGTTAGCAAAATCTTGGTTCCATATATGCTGTTACCTATGTATGTTTTACTACAAGCTGTTACATCTTTTTTTTTATATATATTTATTACATTTTCTTTTAAAAAAATTCATTTTATAAAATATTTTATTAAATTCGATAATGCTAAAGTAAAGCTTTATGTAGAATTTAAAATCGTACATTTGTTCCATAAGTATATCTTTTAATGATATTCTAAGTGCTTACCTGCGCAAAGTATAATTTCTTTAGTAGCGAAGACAAAATATATTTTATGGTCTTTCGCAAATTGGACGCCCTCGGCTTTTTTTGTTTGCGTATTAATAATAATTTTCGTTACTGTTGAGAGCTTAGACAGATAAAAGTTGGTCCTGTCGCGAATTGGTCTGAGGAAAGCTTTGCTGGCGCTGACTCTGTGACCATTTCGTAAATTTGCTTGCACGGTTGAGAAACCGATGAATCTATCGCTGTTGTAATCTATCAGTTCGTAACCAAGCTCTTGACCAGCCTTTAAGAAACGTTCCTTCAAAGGAGTGGCGTAAGGAGGAGTCATGACATCCAGATATCCTTTGTATCCGTGATACCTCATGAGAGAAGAATTGTGCAAGACGAAGTATGAGAAAGAGTGTAATATTATGCTTAACGCATAATTATTTCTGAATTACACGAACATTATAATATAACGGAAATTACACGTAATTGAATTAACGTAATTGAGAAGATTCACGACAAGAAATCGAATAAATTCATGATCCTCATGCGAGTATCTCACGATTTATCACGTACCTCACGTCTCTATCGATCAGCCTGCACCTCTCGGACTTGATGAAATAGGGCAGTACGTCCTTGTAGCTCCAACCGGGATTTCCGAGCGCCTCCCAACCGTTGTAATCCGCCGGCGAACCCCTTGAGTAAATCATGAAGTTCACCACGGAGGTGCCACCGACCGCTCTACCAGTCACTACCTTGCAACGGCCGTCGACCATCGAGAGGCAGTACCCACCGCGACCATACGGGTCTGGCGGTCGCAACTTGCCTTTGTATACGCGGGCATAATCTGTAACGTGAAGGATCGACGCCAGGAAGGGAATATCTGTGAGAAAGATCTCATCCCTGCCCTCCTCGAGCAGCAGGACATTCCAATCAGGATTCTCGGTCAGGCGATTCACAAGCACGGACCCCGCCGATCCGGCTCCAATCACGAGGAAGTCGAAAGATAGGTAATGTTGCCCGGGCGCCGCGTCCTTGTCCTGTACTAGATCGTTGGGCGGTGGGAATCCCGCAAAGAAGTGATGAACCGTTTCCAGAATAGCCGGCGGTAAAATTCCACCAACGTGTCCCAGAAACAAGATCGTCAGACAGAACATCATGAATCTGATCTTATCGTGCAAGAAATAAATTTTCGCCAATCTTCTGTCGGATATATTACAGCGCCTAGTTCTCTTTAATACATTATTCTATTAATCTCTTGTATAACAGTTTGCTGATTCTTCTCTTTAGAAAGCTTGGGACATCTAGTCAAATTGAAGTAGGTCTCTATGAAATCGCATTCGTCTCGTAAAGTTGATTTAGAAGACTATGCGATTACTAATTTAAATACGTAACTGATGACTTTTTCGGTAATCGTACTTTTGAATCGGCAGAATTTATTGCAATTTTTTAAATCAATTTATTACAGTTGCATGCTCGTCGCGATATAACGTAATCTTTTTAATCTTGATGCACCGCTCCATATTTTCAATACTTCGACATATCTTTATTTTTAGACTACGGTCTAAATGAGAAACACAATCAATACTAGAAATTTAAAATGCCTATTACGGTCGAAGCTGAATCTTCGACATATATTTACAGCATGTATTCGCGAACGATCTTCAAACACATTTAAATTATATAAGATACTCAAACGTATCTTCGATCGTAAATTTTTGTAATTAACACAAAAACAGAACTCAGCAACTTATTCGTAACGCACGACATTCATATGGCACTCAATCGCATCTTGTTCTCCGTAATGCGATGTTAACCATCAACTGCGGTATCTCTTAAGTTGCATCGGAAAAAAATATAGATCTCCATAGCATTATGGTCGACTACGTCAGCGTTCGAGGATACTTTTGACGGATTTTACGGTCAGGGCAGCGCTACACGAGTCATACAAAATAAGGTTGCGAGAAGTGAATGTTAATCAGCAGTTTAACATCTTGACACAATGGTGCCACCGTACGATTGCATCTCTTCTGCATTCCGTACTATATTGTCGTATCGATATTAAAGAATATTGAAGAACGGGTTCATAGTTCGGGTGCACCGAACTCTCATAACGGATTTCAAATTTCGATAATGCGTACTTATTGCCGTCAGTCATTTAATTCAGTTATCATTTTACTCTTACCGAGATGCAATCTTCGAAAGCTCTGAATTTGTCGTAATGTGTCCGCAGAAATTTTTCCATACGTGTTTTTCACGAATTTCACATACGCTGTGTGTTTCTTTTACATTTTTCTCATTACGTAAGTCCTCGGTATATTTTTTATTATACTTCTGATTGTGCATACTCTTCTCATTTAACAAATAAGGAATGTTTACATGTGTATATGTGTTTTGACGCAATTTTTTTCAAAGGCACTTTTTAATAAAAAGTTATAATATTGGCGGATGATTGAAAGAATCGTGTTTATCTCGCGAAAGTCGCTTGCACACTGAAATCGAATTGAACTTCCATGGTCAACTGTACTAAAATTGGGTGAAAGGAAAAAAAACAGCTGACAAGACCGATACTTTTAATATTCTTGTAGAAACATCGCATGTCGCTGCAACTACAGCAATGGTCAAATTTCTTGCACAACTCTTGTTAACATTTTTCCTTTGCATTACCAATTATAGTCTTTAGAAACGTGTATGTGTGATACATATGATCGATGTAAATGTAACATCAAAACTTAAAAAAAACTTATTATTATCAAAACTTATTATAGCTATAATAAATATCATTTTAAGAAATAGAAACAAAATATATTGAAAAACTTATTTTTAAAAATATTGAAAAACAATATTATTATTATTAAAACTTATTAAAGCTATAATAAATATTATCAAAACTTATTAAAGTTATAATAAATATTATTTTAAGAAATAGAAACGAAATACATTGAGAAACTTATTTTAAAAAATATTATTAAAAAATTATATTATAATATTATTACTAAAACTTATTAAAGCTATAACAAATATTATTATAATAACTTATTAAAGCTATAATAAATATCATTCTAAGAAATAGAAACAAAATACATTGATATATTTATTATAATTTATATCTGTATTACATTATACTAATAAACGTTTTATAAAAGTTGCAATTTAACTTTGGCATTTTATTCATATTTTTTACTCGTACTTATATTATACTTTAAGAATACTATAATTTTATTTGTATTTACGACTTTTATTCCGATATCTTTCAGATCTTATAAATAAAATAAAAACATTTTGATATATAAATAGAAATAGTACAAAATTAAGTTAAATTATAACAATTTTTAGATACGTAAAACAATAATTTTTATACAATATATACAGGAAATATATGAAAGAAAAGAAATATATGTATTCAAAGAAATGTACGAGTATGTATAGAATATTTTCTACTATTATAGAAAAACATCAAGTTAATATTTTCAAGTTAAATTACAATTTATATTAGCTTATAATTAATATCTTAATAAAACTTGAATCTCTAGTAATATCGTTCAATGGAGGAAAAATTTTTGCAGGCAATAATATAGATAAATCATCGATCAAGGTGTGGCATTCAATTAAACGAGATGAAAATACCAAAGCGCACAATATAAAATCTTAAACGAACCAGTCCCGTGTGACCCACATAAGTAATTACGGAATATGCCCTGTACATGAGGCATCTGTATTTGCACCTTTGCCATATGCAGAAAATAACAAGTTACGCAATGTATGCTCAGAGATACGTTCAATACCGTATCTAACATTAAAACTAATACAGAGTTTTGATGAGTTCCACTTTTCGTGAATACAATTCTCGTCGCCATAAAAAAAGAAAAAAAACTAATTTTCATGTTAGATTACAATAAAAATGTCAAATCTCATTAGAATAATTTCAATCAGTAAGAACACTTTCGCTGTTCGAATCCTTAGACTGAAGTTTTTAAAAAGTTTTAAAATTATAATTTTTGATATATTTTTATTATTGTTACCTCTTATTTGATTGCATTTTTCTTAGTTGATCGAGTTTTATTTAGGATATAAATTTTTATCGATGATGACAATAATTATAAGCAATTTCAGTTAATTACGGTCATCAATTAATTAAAACGGTAGATAAATTACATAAAAAATTTACCTACAATTAATCGATATTTTATAACTATCGATACTATAATATTATTAATTTCAAATGTTGACAAATTGTAATATAATCACATAAAAAATATATTGTAGACTGTAACCCAAGCAAACAATTTACATTTAAAAAACATTTAGCAGAAATGTTTTTTTATCATATAACGTTAAATAAACGTTATTAACGTTATGTTTATTAAACATTTATTAAATTATCGAATATCTTATATAAAATGTCTAAAATTATGTTTTAAACTAGTAAAAAAAACGTTTAATAATGTTATTGTAAATATAAAATATCTTATAAACGATTTTATAATGTTTATCGAATAATTTTAAAAGCGTATCAAATATTTTAAATGTTCATTTTTAAATTTATATAATTTATTAAACAATTTTTAATGTGTATTAAATATAACACAATTACGTTTAAAATATATTTTAAATATATTTTAAATATAATTGTGTTGCTTGGGAAACTATAAATGTCTTATGAGTATTTCGTAAATGCAAGAATTCGCAATTGCAGAATTCACCAATGCTATGGCCATATATAGTTTGCGTTCGGTTTCGACGCTCACGTGCTTTAAACTCATCAATCATCATTTTGTCTTCTTCGTTTATTAGACATAAAATAAGAATAGAAGTGCTGAAAACGTCTAAATCGAATGCAACCCCAATCTCACAAGTCCTTTGCCAAATTCTGCAGTAAAGAGTTAGGGTAAATACGAATCAGGCACTAATTTCGAATCACATATTATACTTAAATAAATATAATATTTTCCATCAAATAATGTATATCACAAGCATTTGTTTTATCTTTTACAAGTATTGATTGTTTTTTATTTATTAGCACTTGAACATAACAGACGCTTCGTGCGCGCTACCAAACTTTGGTTACATAAAAAGAAGATACAACACAATGAAATAGAACACAATAAAATTAAGGAAGAAATAGTAAATTTATCAAGAGACACGGTAGTGTCTCGCGCCAAGTGGGTGCGCAGCGCGAGACACGAGTGTATTTACGCGAGTCAGCGAGTTGCGGGCATCCGAGTACCCGAAATTCTCGGTTTTTTTAATAAAGGCTAGACCGATGGAATTCTGAATATGAGTTCTATCGATAATTTGGGTCCGAATTGTATAATAAACGTTTATTTTCCCTCTACGTGTCCCACGAACGGAGATATCATGATGCGAAATCCGAAATGTCAAATTTTCCTGTAAGATACGTCTCCTCAAAAGTCATCTCCTTTTCATATTTTGGACGGTAGATGGCACTCGTTTATAGCTGTCATTTACCATACATACGTGTGAATGTGAATGATTTATAGCCTCGCGAATTGGTAACGGCATGAACATATATGCAATGACGTTCACACGTTAAGCGGTCAAGCGGCCCGTTTAAATTTTTATATACTTTAGATTAAAATTACTCAGAAATTACAGCCGCAATTAAAGATCTAAAAACACTTTTATTATACGTCGTCGGTATCTCTCGATTGCGATCAGTCCGAAAAAAATTGGTGCAGCCGATACCGAGATCTGGAGATCGTTTCTCAAAAAGGGATCATTTCAGCTTTTCAAATTTTTTCAGTCATACGTGTAACATATACATAAAGCGTTTTGTCCATTAAGCTGCTGTTGACAATGCCTTCATAGAATTCTAATTTTAAAATAAAATTAAAGTAAAATTAGTAACGAAAGTGAACCTTAATGCGTATTTGATTAATCATGATTCTTTATCAATAATAACTAGTGAAGAAGCAATTATTGAATATAATCGGCTAAACGACTACATAAACCAGAAGCACAAATTATTGTTACTATTTCAAAAGAATTATCGTAAAATTAAAGATGTGTCATGGACATTACCGAAAATAATAACTTCCGTTCAACAGTCAGATCAAAAAGTTCGACAAAGTACTACTTCTTGGGTTATACGTGGTTTTCAAAATACTGACAAAGTTTCATGCTATGCCAATGCTACATTACAATGTTTATTTCATTTAAGTATTATTAGATAACAATTATTTAATTCTGATAAACTAAATGTTTCAAATATATTAGCGCATCGATATGAAAACGGAAAATGTACTTAATTTGAGTACCTACGCAATACGAAAATATCTAGGGGAGTATTTTT